TAGGATAAACCTTTTGTACATTCTCCAGGTGTGAGACTAGCATAAACCTTTTGTACATTCTCCAGGTGTGAGACTAGCATAAACATTTTGTACATTCTCCAGGTGTGAGACTAGGATAAACCTTTTGTACATTTTTCAGGTGCGAGACTAGAATAAACCTTTTGTACATTTTCCTGGCGTACTGACTAGCTAACCCTCAATTAGTCGCGTGGGGTCATTATGACCCTATGCAATTTCTTTAATTAACTATTATGTGATAGATGGCACTTTACTTAGCCCTGCCCAAAGTAACTTCCTTACTTGTGTGTCTGTCCATGTTTCAGTCTTCCTCAGTATTCTACAATTGTAGGTTTTTGCAAAGTTATAGATTGTGGTCATATTCAACCTATGCGACCACACATGTTCCATTTTACCACGCGACTAATTGAGGATTAAGCAATGAAAACAGGTAAATTAATTTTCAAAAACAATGGACTTTCGTCAAAATCTTCACACAAACGGGAGAAAGAACTCATATCAAACGAAGATTTCTCTGCAACAGAACCGGTGAGCACAAAAGTTGTATCGTTCAAAAGCTCTAATACTAAGTTATCGTTGAAAAGAAGTTTTTTATTATTTTGTTTGTTGGATATCGTGGTGACCAGAACAGCCTCTAATTTCTGTACAATCGACTACCGACTTCAAGGTTAATCCATTAAAGTTTTCAGAGAAAACAAAATGGGGTGGAAAGACCCAATTCCATTACTCAGTATTTGATACATTAAATCTTGTTTTATATTGGCATAAAACCTGGTTTCAATATTCAGCATTTAATACATTAAATCTTGTTTTTTATTGGCATAAAACCTGGTTTCAATATTCAGTATTTAATACATTAAAACTTGTTGTTTTTTTTTGGCACAAAACGTGGGTTCAGTACTCAGTATTTAATACATTAAAACTTGTTTTTTTGGCATAAAACCTGTGTTCATTGTTTAGTATTTGATACATTAATTCTTGTTCTTTTGGCAGAAGCCCTGGGTCTATTGCTCAGTATTTAATAAATCAAATCTTGTTTTCTTAAAACCTGGGTTCAATACTCACTATTTAATACATTAAATCTTGTTTTGTTTTTTAAACAAAAGACTTGGGTTTATTGATTGGCATTTAATTAATTGAATTTTTTTTCTTTTTGAATAGGATCTCAATTCATTACTTAGTAATACAATAAATACAACGTTTTCTACTAAAAGACAAGGTTTCATTGCTTAGCATAAACATAGGGTTTTATCTAAAAAACAGGGAACGGTCATATTTAGAAATACAAAATAAGAAAACCTTCCTGTTAACAGAAGTTATTGTAGTTACTATTTTTGTGGATAACCTGCTTAGTTGTAACTCCTATTTCTATTCTCACAGACACAGTAGGAAAATGCTGATGGGTATATATTTGGAAATTCTGTTCTTATTGTCAGACAGTGATCTTTAAACATCAACATTTCCATGGGACAAACTTATGCAAGACTATATAAATGTGATACAATTTCCACTCACCTGTGATGAGCTCCACCTCCCACAGTTTTGATTTCTTTGATAGGTGCCTGTCATCCCTACATAGGCATTGCTATCACCTGTTTGATTATAGAACTGAAAAGATGGTTTTTAAGGAGACTGAAGAACAAACATAAGAGTGGTGCTTGGGAATACAGAATTGAAACAGGGTTAAGATTTACAGTCCTGATAAAACAACACTGATTGTTTGGGAAAGGACAATATTATATTCCTTTACATATGCTTTGTGAGCCCATCATGTAGAGGACGAAAAAGATAAGCATAAGTCTGGGAAAAGTACGAGGACTTTTGTAGCAGATTACCAATGGACAAAGCATATTTTGGTTAAACCAATAATGTATCTTCTTTGACAGTGGTACCTTCACTCTTGGAAAATAGTTGCTCTAACCTGCCCTTTTCTGGGAGAGGTACCAGTAAATATTTCTCTGTGGCACCCCCGCCCCTTTTTTTGGTAGTACTAAAATGAGATCGAGATTCAAGTTCTAGTTTATTTTACTAAAACCCTCCATTTTCTAAGGCATCTTTTAAAAAAATTATATAGTTTGTAGGCAAGATCTTTGCGTCATATTCTGTCTACATCTAGGCCAGCTCTAAGTGCATTACCCATTACATGGAGGTTGCAGGGCATGAAAATATCTTCAAGGCTATCTTAAAGGTCATCACTTGATACATTTACAAAAAAAGCCTCAGAGGGATGGTTATTTCTGCTTTTAAGAAATGCATGATTTTTCCCTAAAATTCTTTCTTTTAGCATGATGAAAAGTAAAGGCCAAATTGTAAAACTAGTTTTGAGTTTCTGACCAATATCTCATAATTACATGAAAATTCTTCACATCTTAACCAGTGGTTGTTTCTTTATACAATATGATGTATCCTGAATTACTTTTCTTTAGGTCATCCACCAGTTGCTTTAACTGGTCGGGTCAAAGGCCATGTCACAATATGTGACACCATTGTTTACCTCCCTCCTTAAACATCCTAGAGAATAGCAGACCAACATCACCACAGTGTTTCTGGTTCTGCTGCAAGTTTACTTGGACGTGAATAATTTCTCTGGAGTCACAGCTCTCAGATGTAATGCCCAAGGGTGGTGCACTCTGGTGGCAGCATTTGTCTTTGCTATCCTTTACACTGCTGTCCAGAGTTTGTTAAGACATCTCCACATGTGTGGACTTCAGCTATCCAATATTAACTAGAACAGCCCACTGTTTTCAATTTAAAAATTTTAGGGCAAAGCAAAGTGTCGAGATCATAAATAAAAGATACAAGAGAATATCCACTCCTGTTTATGTCATAAATCAAGGTTTCTATCATTTTGTGACTCCGTGCAGACTAACTCTGAAATATTCTTAGTTTGGTCAACTTTTTGACCTTTTCAAATACACACAGTTTCAAACTGAAATTATTTGAAATTCATGCTGAGTCGTGTGAGTTTCAAAATCATTTCAAACTTAAAACTGAGGTTTTTTTTTAAACCAAACTCATTTTAAATCAAAATCAAAAATTTAAACAATTTCATAAATGAAATAGAATTGGTCTTGAAAAAATCTCTTATATGCAAAAAAGAAGACCAAGTTTCATCATTTAGTATTTAATATATTAAATTTTATGTTTTCTGGTAAAAAAAACAAAAAAACTAGTTAATACTGACTTAATATGTTAAACCTGATGTTTTGTGGCAAAATAGCTTAGTTTCATTGCTAAGTATTCAATTCATTAAATCTCATGTTTTGTGGAAAAAAGTTTAGTGTTATTGCTAAGTATTCAATTCATTAAATCTCATGTTTTGTGGAAAAAAGTTTAGTGTTATTGCTAAGTATTCAATTCATTAAATCTGAAGTTTTGTGGTAAAAAAGGCTTAGTTTCATTGTTCAGTATTCAATACATTAAATTGAGATTTTTGTGGTAAAAAAAGATATGTTTCATTGTTCAGTGTTCAATACATTATATTGAGATTTTTGTGGTAAAAAAGGCTTAGTTTCATTGTTCAGTATTCAATACATTAAATTGAGATTTTTGTGGTAAAAAAAGATTAGTTTCATTGTTCAGTATTTAACACATTAATCTGATGTATTCTGGTAAGACTTAAGTTTCAGTACTCAATACTTAATACAATAAATCTGATGTTTTCTCAAATGAGATGAAGTTTCATATCCCATTGTCTAATTCATTAAGTTTGAATGATTTCTGAGAAAAGTCAGGATTTCATCATGTAGTGAGCAATAAATTAAATCTCATGTTTCCTGGTGGTTTATGTTAAATTTATTTAAAAAGATAATTTTGCAGACTATCTACATCAAATACATACACTTTCTCTCTCAAACAGTAAAATAAGGATTGTGAAATTAGGCTCATCTTTCCGTAAGAAACACGCTAGAATTTTTACACCACAGATCATGTTGCGGTCACCTTCAATTGTCATCTCAGTTCTTAACCATGTTATTGGAAATAATGAGACAAAGATGACCTAAACAATATGATAACAGGCTTCGCATTTGGTGCACACCACTACTGTATAAACTATTCCTTACAGCTTAGAAAAAATAAGGTAGCTTTTATCACCAAGTAACTCGATTGAAACATTTCTATTTAGTACAGCCTGTTTCTAAGGTAGGTGGTATCTAGCCAGAATTTGATCAATGGTGCTTAGTTCTGACTAGATATGGGTAAATCTAGGACACTGTGTTGTAACACTCACGCCTGTCTGAGCTGTTGAATAATAGTGTACTGTCCAGAATACAGTGTTTTAACAGTCGCACCTACATAATCTGTTCAACAATAATGTACTGTCCATAATACAGTGTTTTAACAGTCACACCCGTCTGATCTGTTGAACAATATAACAAACCTTCCAGATAACAGTGTTGCAACAGTCACACCTGCCTAATTTGTTGAACAATAGTGTACTGTCCAGTACACAGTGTTTTAACAGTCGCACCTACATAATCTGTTCAACAATAGTGTACTGTCCAGAATACAGTGTTTTAACAGTCACACCCGTCTGATCTGTTGAACAATATAACAAACCTTCCAGATAACAGTGTTGCAACAGTCACACCTGCCTAATTTGTTGAACAATAGTGTACTGTCCAGTACACAGTGTTTTAACAGTCGCACCTACATAATCTGTTCAACAATAATGTACTGTCCATAATACAGTGTTTTAACAGTCACACCCGTCTGATCTGTTGAACAATATAACAAACCGTCCAGATAACAGTGTTGCAACAGTCAAACCTACATAATCTGTTCAACAATAGTGTACTGTCCAGAATACAGTATTTTAACAGTCACACCTGTCTGATCTGTTGAACAATATAACAAACCGTCCAGATAACAGTGTTGCAACAGTCACACCTGCCTAATTTGTTGAACAATAGTGTACTGTCCAGTACACAGTGTTTTAACAGTCACACCTGTCTGGTCTGTTGAACAATAGTGTACTGTCCAGATCACAGTGTTGCAACAGTCACACCTGCCTAATTTGTTGAACAATAGTGTACTGTCCAGAATACAGTGTTGTAACAGTCGTACCTGTCTGGTCTGTTGAACAATATTGTACTGTCCAGAACACAGTGACGTAACAGTCACACCTGATCTGTTGAAAAATAACATACAAAGGCACATTCATATAATTATCTTAGAATTCTTATGCTAGCCTGATCTACTGAGCAATAATGTTTACATTACAGCTAAAACATGACCCCCAACAGGTCCAGTTCACAAATACTGATGGTTAAAACATGTTTTTTATTCTTTATGTGACAACTTTTTTGTTTTAATACAAGATTCATTTCCACAAACATTATATAATTAATAGAAACCAGTAAACTAGAATGAAAATTTCAGCCTTTCAAGGATTTTTTTTATAAATAATGTAACTGTTTGGACCTCCAAAAGTCCAGAAAGAAATTATCCTTACTGTGGGACAATACTCTCATACAATTTTGTTGCTACCTAAACGTTAATATATCCACCATTAGTTTGTAATATGAAAGTACAGCTATCAATTATAATCCATGAAACAGTCAGGTTAATCAAAAGAAAACCACTGATAACGTGTACAACTCTATCTCTGTACAACAGGTAAGTCTGACATCATGAGTGAAAATGTGTAAACATTCACACAGACTTTTTGTCAATATACAACAGTTATTAGCACAGGTAACAGGTGATATAAATTATAACTTCTTTTACTGGCATTTTCTAAAGCAATACATCAACAGTATTCAAAACTAATTCATTGATACGTGAAAATTGTGAGATTACGATACTAACGAAAATAATGACATTTTACAGGATTAATTTTTATTTTCAAAAATTTCATACAATAGTCACTATAATATTAAAATGACTTAACACATTTAGTGCCGAGTAATTCCACTGTACAAACCCGGTCTCGCCATTTCAACGTTCACTATCACCTACAGCACTGAAGTCCTCAATATCCTTTAACATTAAGAGGGAATTTGATGGGAAATAGCAGCTTGCAAACAAAACATAATTGAACGGGTTGGCCTGGAATCAAGCTATGTAGGTCTGAACCTTGATTAGTAGGGTACTTCTAGCAGCCAAGGATTCAGGTAAAAAACTAGACATATAATTTCACTCTCCCCACACTGTACACACAAAACCAGGCCTGAGTGCTGGCTGAGACAGGGACCTCTCGGATCAAGAGCAAATCTGCTGATTGTGGGAGATCTAGAAGCTGGACATCTGCAACAGAGTTCCAAGAACTTCATTTCTATCAATATTATTTGATCAAGCTCTTGCTCTAGAAATTCCTGTTTCTCCAACTCCGATTATCTATTTTATACACAGAACTGCTTTAATTTTACATCATATGGGAAGATAAGAAACTGGACAAAAAATTAGGAAGTACTTACAAAAAAATAATAAAACATACACTAATTGCAAAAGTTCAGTTAAACATACTAGTTCGTCTCAAATACATACATGTTATGTCTTTTATCTCCTTACATACAGTTAGGTATTACCATTTTAACACTATTAACAACTAAAAGATACAGCTACCACTTAGAGTAGCAGCTATTAACAATTTAAACACCAATTACCACTGAATTAATATTCTACACAGCAGTTTCTAAAACTGATAAAGATATCTGTTTGTTGTTAAGCACAAAGCTACACAATGGGCTATCTGTACTGTGCCCATCATGGGTATCATAGCAACATAAATCTTCAGACTTACCGCCAAGCCACTGGGGGATGATAGACGTAAAAAGTAACCAGGTATTATCACTTATCTCACTTTAACATCTCTTCAATTTTTTTTTTTTTTTTACAGTAACACTAACCACTCTATTATATTAACTTCTTTCTGTTTTACTGTACAACTCAAATACTTCAAACAACTGTGGGATACAATAGCTATATGTTTAGCTACATCATTTTAATACATATACTCACATCAAGAGGTCACTATATCTCACTCAGTTATGGATCTTGATAGCTTTTTCCGAGTAGTTACATCGAGATCTTTTAGGTGCCTTGTTTATGTGTTCCAGTCCTAGCCAGGGTTTGGGTGGCAGGGAACTTCCTGAAAGCAAACACTCTATACAAATGTCACCTTCTTAAAACATACTAATACATTAAATTCTTTGTGGCAGAAACTTCCTGTCACATGCTCTATGTGTAGAACAACGTTATGGAAGATAGCATCCTTCAAACCAGGCCCTAAGTTTTCACACTTCACAAGATGTTAACTTACTGAACAATGACAAACTGATTCTTGATAGAAGTAAACAGTCCTCAGTTATAGTTATTGATCGACAACTTTTGCTAAAAATTCTAACTCTGTTATAGTTATTGATCGACAACTTTTGCTAAAAATTCTAACTCTGTTATAGTTATTGATCGACAACTTTTGCTAAAAATTCTAACTCTGTTATAGTTATTGATCGACAACTTTCGCTAAAAATTCTAGCTATGTTATAGTTCTT